CCGCAAAAAATGAACAGAACCAAAAAACAACATTCAGTAGTGCCAACAGCAGAACCAAAAGCAATGGGAAAAAGAAACACAAACCACGAAAAACCTACGAACATGCCAAGAGTATTGGCTGGGCAAGGAAAGGATCTTGCAGCCCGGCGGCGCCAGCGCCTCCTGCGCAGTGAACTCGCGGCCATACCTAAGCTGGGCCAAGAATGGTGTCTTAAAACAGGGGACCTCTCCTAGGTCATCCAGCAGAGAGGTTAGAATACGGGTACCCTTTTTCTGTAGTCTATTTTAGTAGGGGATCCTCCCCCAAAAAAAGGGACACTACACTGGGGGACCTAGTCTCAAAAAGGCTTGGGGTTGCTCTAGGTTTCCTGTAAAACAACCCAAAGAGGAACTGATACAAAGAGACAGACCCGTTTCGGCACTTTGCTTTCGCGTGGGTCAAAAGTATGTTTTTTTGAGTCTACCTTTTGCTCATTTGTCCACACCGCTGTCCATTTGCCCAGTGCCCTTTGAGCTTTGCCCGCTGAAAGAGGGATCCCAGGCCCTTCGCCGCGCGCCTCTGGGTTTGTCTCATTCGAGCTGCGCGCTCTGATAGGAATCCCGAAAAGGGAAGCGGCACTTGTGACACATCCAGAGGGGTTCACCAGATCCCCCGATTGGGATCCTGGTGCCATTGTTATTTGATTTCCCCCCAGGAGGAAAACAAAAAACGGTCAAGCAACAACCTTCGATCTGCTTGGACCCTGTTGCCCAGTGACCCTGGGGTTGACCATAGCTCGGAAACCACCAGAAAAGGGACTTAGAGGTTAAGTCCTCCCATCAAATGCTCATCTCAGCTACCTACAAACCTCATGTGGTTCATAGGTACCAAGGCAAGGAGTTCATAGGTACCAAGGGATTCACAGCCTCATAGACCCACTTTCACACCTTAAACCCCCTCAACTTTGCCTCCAAGTCGAGGTCCATCGTCAACAAACCTGTCGAGAATCGACAGGAAGAGGAGAACCTTCTCTTTGACCAGCCGCAACAGCGGCAGAAGAAGCTGAAGAAGCAGAAGAAGCAGAAGAAGAAGAAGGCAAAGAAGACCAACAAGAACAACAACAAGTGGAGAAGAACAAGGGACAACAAAGAGAATCTCGACAACAACCGCACCAGAATACGGAGACAAAGGGAGGCAGCGGGAGGAATGTCTCTCTTCCCGGGCGGGAATCCTCTCATTCACCTTCAACAACAGCTGCTCAAGAAAGCCGAAGAAAACGAAAATATGCTCAACAACAAAGGAAAAGTTGTTTGATCAGCACGAAAAACTGGACGCAAAGGGCAGCCACGGTGCTGCATGAGCTGCTTGGCCCTGGTCAAGCCGACAGCCTTAGGCCTCGGATTCGGGGGTGTTGGGGTGGGGATGGGGGTAGTTGCAGGGCAGGAGGAGGAGGCCTGGGACGTGCCAATAAGAATGTCGACAATTGAATCAACCTGGCGGATTCTTGCGATTTCCTCTTTGACACACACCCTATTTGCCCTTATCTTTTCTTCGATTGAATGAATTATTCTCTGACAAACAAGCGTTATGCAGACACCGCCCGTGTGCCTTAACAAACCCACAAGCACCGGGGAACATTTACGGTACCAGTGCCACCGAAAGCAAGTAGCATGAAAGACCAGCAAGAGGGGCGCAGCTTGCAAAGAATCTCAACTTAAGTAGTGTGATCTTGGGTTGCCACCTTTTGCAGAGCAGCTCCTGATTTCGTCAAGTGTTTGACAACAATATTGCATGCCGCAATTTGCTCTGACATACTCTAAACATGACACCACACTCCCCAAAACAAACCAAAAAGAAAACAAAAAACAAGAACGGAGAAAGTCCCTTGAAAAGGCAGCCCTTCAGGTTGCAAGACGGTCTTGGATAGCGACTCCGATCCGTCGGACACCAAAAAAGCATGATGGCCCGGCCCGGGCCCTCCTCGTTTTGCAAATCTTTACTATTGAGATTCTTCAAAACCACGCGAAGGTCAAACTGGCCTCTGGTCGTTCCCACATTTGGCAGTTCAATACGGAAAAGTCTCAGGGTTCTTCTGGCAAATGGCTGTGGGTCAAAATAGGTACCACAAATGGAACCCTGATAAATGGAAAGAAGGACTAAAACCTGCGGTCCCCTGGTTGTTTAATTTTGACTCATACCCAAATGACCCGTTTCTCTGATACCAAAGTGAGCCGTCCCCTGATCACTGTTGGGGGGATCCTCTTGGCCTCTCGGGGAAAGTGACAACCCAAAACCATTTCGACCCGGCATTTTGTTGCACCGCTCCTTTGTAGGCGTCATCCTGAAATCTGAAATGGCCTCTTTTCATTGCTAACTATAGTACACACACGCACACTTTGAGCAACACCTAACTTTTGATGGCTGCAAGATTGTTGCAAACATTGGCACAAGTATATTCAAACACCACTATCTGCTACAGGCAGCTCAACTCCCTGCAGCCAGGGGATTCTTTTTGAGGCGATCCACCCTTTTTCTGCGGGGATGGTACACAGGGTGCCTCACAATCGTCTCAAAGCCGGGAGATGTGACATCCAGTCCAACCGCCACTGGCGCTTCAGTCTGCAACAACATTGTTGAGGCCCTTGGGCCTTCTACCATGGTGATTTGACTCCTTGATCCCACTGCACAGACACAACACACTCACACACACACACAAACCGGTGAGTACTCGCGCCCCCTCTTCTAGTAAGTTGGTGCATCTCTTACCCTGGCCCGGGTAAGCACTCCAAAGAGCTCATCCTGTATTCCAACACTTCGAAAAAGTGAAATCCAACTAATCCACCGAGAATCCTGTTCGATTCTGGCTGTCGATGTCTACCCCGGACTCACAATCATTGCGGATTGATATGTTCGTCACCGATGGCCCTGGTTCAGCACGAGGCCTGCACTAGGTGGATCGAGTTCCGAAAAGTGCTGGATGAAACGATCAGTTGAATGGGAGTCTTCGACTCTATATACATATATAAAAATATACATATCGTTTTGACTAAGCCTGTGTGTGGTCATGGAAGCTCTCTTACCGAACTCTCAACTTGATGGCTGTTCTGGGCAGCTAAGTGCAGAGAAGTTCCTTCCCTTCGGCACTTCGGTCGGCCTTTTTCATCCGCTTGCAGCAAGCAAAGAACAACTTCCTCATGGCCATTCTGGGCCGCTGAGTCCATGGGAGACACTCCGAAAATGTCGGTCTTTTCTTTGTCAGCCCGGGCTTGCAGCAAGGTACGCACGACTTCCTGACGGCCACCAGAAGCAGCAGAATGCATGGGCGTCCTTCCGTTATTGTCGGCCTTCTCCTTATCAGCGCCGGCTGCTAGAAAGCAACGTACAACTTTGTGATGGCCATTTTGGGCAGCTAAGTGCATGGAAGTCGCGCCAAACATGTCAGCGCAATCTTTGCTAGCGCTGGCTGCTAGAAAGCAGCATACAACTTCGTGATGGCCATTCTGGGCAGCCAAGTGCATGGGAGTCACCCAGAACATGTCAATGCTTTCTTTGTCAGCACCGGCTTGCAGCAGGCAGCTCACAACTTCCTCATGGCCACCAGAAGCAGCACAATGCATGGGTGACTGTCCGTCATGATTGGTTTTCTCCTTATCAGCGCCGGCTAGCAGAAGGCAACGCACAACTTCCAAATGGCCATTCTCAGCAGCTGAGTGCATGGGAGTCGCCCCGAACATGTCAAACGCTTCTTTGTCAGCGCCGGCTTGCAGCAAACAATGCACGACTTCCTGATGGCCATTCTTCGCAGCTACGTGAAGGGGAGTTCGCACATTTTCATCGTCTGAGCCGTCTAGGTCAACTGCTTTGGCGTCCGGGTCGAGGGGCCTGTCCAGGAGGTTCACAACTCCTGCAAGGTCGCCATTCAGCGCCGCCTGCAGAAGCGCTTTTGCACCACCATCTATATCTGTCAAATAGGGTCGAATCACCACCACCAGCTCTGCATCGATCCAAGGACTGTCTGAAAGAATCGCATCCCCGCAGACCAGCGCAAGCTGCCTGAAATTCTTCACTTTTAGCTGCCCAGCCAAATGGCGCCTGAGCGCATCGATGAACACCTCACCCCGGTGCTCACGCCATGCAGCGAACTCCTCCTCGTTCAGCACCTGCTCACCAGTGACCCTGCGAACGCACCCCATCTGGAGCCGAAGCCCTGGAGCCACGGAGACGGAAGCTACACCAAGAGGAGTCCCACCTGTCGTTTCTTACCGAAGGCTAGTTTCTGCGACCTCGATTGACGTATGGCCCATGACCCCTGTTCTTGGGACACGTCCTTCCTTCTCGACTTCCTTGTATCAGGATATTTCCCACGTAACTTTCCCAAAGAAACGCTTTCGAGGTAGCTGCGCACCAAGCCCGCGCAAAAAAAAACAACAACGGGAAGGTGTTGCAACTCGGAACTCCCAAAAATAGCTCCAGACTCGGCACCCCTCCTGGCTTGCCTTTGAAAGCAACTGGCAGTGATCCGACCATGTTGAGATGGACATGTCAATCCCGCCCTTGTTCTGCATCTATACATGTATATCTCACTTCCCAAGTTGACTGGCCAAAAAAAGTTTGAACTTTTTATGTACCACTAAATGTGTCTTTCCAAAAAGTTTAAAGTCCACCAACTCAGAAGTGAGATATACATAAAATACATGTGTATATATATAATTACATGTATTATATATACATACATAGAATTTAATGTAAACCTCGGATCAAGCCGGGGGGCCCTACCAAGAGGATTGGTGCGGTCCGGAGGTTTGCAGGTCATCCTCACAAAACAACCCTAATGATTCGTACGCATTAAATTGGAAGCTTGCCCCCAAGTTGGGATTGGTAAACTTTGTGGACGCCCCAAGGCCCTGGTTTGTAGACGGCCTCCCGCAAAACAAGGCACTTTTTGAAGAGGGGCACCTTTGCTTCACCCCAGTTTTTGAGAAGACCGCCAAGTGAACAGGGCTTTCAACCCACCCCAAACCCACCCCGAATCTGCCCCCTCTCCGAATTCCCAGCTCAAGGGGCAGCATCACTGATGAGCCCAGCTCAGGCGACAGGCCCAGCTCCCCAAAAGGGTACCGGAAGGTGGCGTCCTGTCGAACAGAAGGACTCTCCATGTCTCAGACCTCAACGACAAGAGCACCGTGAAGAAAAACAAGACACCACCTGGAGACTTAGAAAAAGGACCCTCTTACCACTCACTTACCACCGCGATTCCGGGGGAGGCAGGAGAATGGTGAACCCAGATCTAAGCAGGAGCCGGTGAATTGATGGCATCCCTGCAAAAAGTGACGTTCCCTCTATAACAGGACACGGCCATATTGATCAACCAGGGGTTTATCACATTATTCACATGGATCTACGCCATCTTTCGCAATGCTGGAGAAATCTCCCCATAAGAAATCAAAGCCGATCAAAATCTGAGTGGTGCGGACGCCCCCAAACGAGCAAAAGATCGAGCTTTGAACACACCAATGCCAGCAGTTCTATTCAGTGCAGACGCAAAGTGCATGCCGTGCCACCATTGCGCAGCCCAAAGCAACAACTAGTACTTTGGATAGACCCACATTGAGAAGGTTGGAGCGTTGCGGACACTTACCATTGGATATGTTTTTATACGAAGTCGATGGGATAAGAAGTACATCTACACGATGTGATCGTGGATGATATCAATGACGACATCCCCATGCACAGAAAGGTACACACAACCGATTTATCAAGAAGCGTTTTTCGGGGCTTGAAACTCAGCATCTTCGGTGGCGCCAGAAGTCCTTGGCTTCCTCAAAAGCAACCTTCCATAAACATGATGACCATCCCAATCTGACCTGAGTTGTCCACCGAAATGAAGACAACTGCCAACCAAAAGCTTGAAGTTTGCCAACTCAGCCAAGCCAAGCCGTCCAAGGACTTGATCTTGGCTAAGTCTAAGTGGCAGCTGAGGAACCCGATCGCTACCTAACCCATGAAAGGGGATCTGAGGCACCCCAACCTGGCTTGGAGCAAAGATTTCCAGGCCAGCGCGGCATTTGTTGGAGCGCCAAATGGAAGGGACGCCTTCATGCCCTCAAAAGAATCCCTCTATTGACCCAGATGGTCAAAAGTCAAAGTCCGGAACCACGCAGAATGCTGACCGAAAGAAAAAACAAAAAAACTTGAACCAAAATTGAAGTCTCCATTTTTTCCAAGAATCACACCATATGGCTGTCACCATGTTCCAACAACCCACATGTCCTACTCAGGGGGTTCACCCCTTGCTGATTACACCCAGCAACTTGCAACAGTTTAGGGTGCCTGTCCATTGTTGGACCCCAATTTCCTTGAAAAGACCCCGTTTCAGGTCCCTTCCATTTGGATACCTTGACGCCATGAGTGCCACGAACCATGAGGAGCACCTCGATCTGGGAAAGGGCAACCCTTTGATGGCCTTTGCTTTAGCCAGGCAGATCCTACTGGTTTCCTCCAAAACCGGGAAACCGAAAACTGGGGAGGCCAACAACTGGGAAGCCCAAAACTGGGAAGCCAAAAACTGGGAGGCCAAAAACTGGGAAGCCAAAAACTGGGAAGCCAAAAACTGAGAAGCCAAAAAACTGGGGAAGCCAAAGCATACACTTCGAAGCTTGAGCGGCCTGTCCCCTCCCCCTTCCGGCTACCCGGCGCCTCGCTGGCGAAGACCTCAAAGGCACAAATCGGACATGCGACCCGCGACTGGAACGCGATTGGCTTTCATGAGGCTTTCCATCCTGGGCTGTCCTCAGATCCCCTGCTAAAAGTGACTAACTTTTACTGGGTGAAATGGAAATCCCCACCAAACACTAAAAGGCCAGAAAGCTGCGGGTAGGGCTAGGAACCACCAAGCAACGAACTAAAGAATTGAATAAGAAACGGACCTGCATACTGAAAGGGCGAAATCCATCGACCAAAAACCTCGAGGTAGACTTAAGCCCTTTATTCCGCCCCAAGTCCAACGCCAAACTGACGTGCTCTTTTGTGGTACCATTTTGGGAGCTATCAAAAGAGGAAACCAAAGGGAAACCCAGCGTTTGGTGGTTTACAGGAACTTGATCAGGGATCCTTACATTATACACCTGAACATTGCCTCGTAAATGGTGGGTTCTTCTTCATTTTGCTGGAAAAAGCCTTATTTCAACTTAACTGGGCAAAGTGTATCTCTTAAGGAGCCCTGTTTATCACCCCCCGTTTAACGTCTAGCTTTCCAAGTGGCTTCCAACATGGGGTGCGGGTCCAAGACATGCGCACATCTCAGGCCGTCAGGCCATCCGAGGCGCCATATCCTGCCACAGGAGCCCCAAGTTCACCCCGCCGCCCACCGCCACCCCGTTGATGGCCGAGAAGGAGATCTTCGGAAGCTTGATCATCGCCTCAGAATCGCAGCGCCCGCGACCGCTGGCGGGGGAGTTCTGAACATTGGGGGTGGGTTCCTGGTGGTTCTTCAAACCCCGGGTGTTGATTTGTGCTTGACAATGGGGGTAGAATTTGGCTGCCGTGTCGAAATCCGACAAATCTCGGGTGTGGACCTGTGAATTGGTTTCCTCTTGGTTCCCGTCTATCAAAAATGCGAGTTCCGCTTTTCAGAAACATCTACCTGGTTGGATCCCTCGAGGGGAAGCATCACGAAGGTGGCATCCGTATATCACGCAGGAGTGGTTGGATGACCCTCGAAACCAGTAAATCAGGCGCCGGCGAGCGAAAGGCCACCTAGAACCGAGGGTGTGATGAATCCCAACCAGTTCCATCCAGCCTTCCCCGCACATGGAATGCCGGGTGCGGGCTTAGTGGGAGAATTCTTACGGTCATGAATCTTCTGCTCCACCACCAAGAGGGCACAAGGGTGGACGTGTGGCCGCTGGTATTTGGAACCGATGTTCATTCTACCCTTCTCTTCCGATCGGCTGTCAAAAGCTCGGAGCACTCTTGCGCAAAGCTTGTCGAACGTCGAATAAGAATTCGGGGGGCCTTCCGGGATGGGGAGGAAAAGGGCAAAGGAGCTGAAAGGTCGGATTCATGTTGAGTCACCAAGTCAGAGAAGTTGGGCGGCTTCTTTGAAAAGCCCTTTCTGATTTCTCGGGCCTTTGAAGAAAAAAAACGAGGCCTTGTTTGCCACCGCTTCTTTTGCGCCCTTTAAAGCCCTCACCCCAGGGCCGAGCTGCCCGCGTGGGCCCCGCCAGCGCCACATCCGGGGGCGGCATCGCAATGCCGGCCTGAGCCGGAAAAGTATGACATGGCGGGTCAAACATGGGGTACCAATGGTTCCACAACAATGGTCCTATTCAATGTTTGGCCATCCCAAAGTAGCATGGCTGTGGGTCAAAAACCCTGGAAACCCCTGGTGAACATCAACATAGGTGGCAAATGGATGTTCATGCACCCCAAAATGGGATCGCCATTGGTTCTGCCCCATGGCCACAATGCATGGCGTGGGGTCTTCAAGGTACAGCGAACATAAAAGCCAACAATGAAGAAATCCGGGCCCCATCCCCAAGCTGAACAGAGCCCATCTCTCTTCATAGACCCTAGGCATTCACGGGAACTCATGAAATGCTGGGAGGTATATGTTGGCTTGTGGCCAGAGCTTCCGTCAAATAAATCCGATCGGGACAAGTGCTCGGCCCGAAATGGGTGATTTCCCTTTGGCCCAAAAAGCTGTGCCCTCAAAACGCACCCATGCGCATGCTCAATCAAATCTGGGGAGCTTCCAGTTGCATAGCGCATTGAACACGTGGACCCCTCTTTTGTGTCCAAAAAGGCCCCCTGAAGGGTAGCAGGGGAATGCAAAAATCTATTTTGCAACCTCGCAAGTGCGCTTAGACTTGCATAGCGCAGTGTCGGGTGCCAGAAACCCGACAGTTTGGGGTTGCAAATGCCACGATTTGAACTGGCCCAAATGTCAAAGCTGGCAAGTGAAGAAGTAGGCTCAAATTGAGCAGAAACGAAACACCTTGATACGCGGTGAAACATCGAGCCGGGATGGAAGGGCTGGATGTTCGCTCTTTACCCAGCTAGTGCTCAGGTGATGTTCTCTCTTCTAAAGCATCAGAAAGAAGCTGGTGGGCGGCACGTTCTATGGTTTAAGCACCTGCTATGGGAGACAAGCCGATCCGGGCATGTCCAGGCCTGAAGATGCTGATTGGCTCATGCAAAATAAAGCCAACATGAGGCGCTTTGGAGGGGTCCAACTGAAGTGGTTCCCTCCAAACATTCAAACAGGGGGGTGGCAGTTTGAACACGCCCTGGGACTAAACTAGTCAAAGACCCCCATCCATCCGCTTCTCTTTTTCTACTTTCCTTTTTTTTTTGGGGGGGGGTTCTGTGCGACATCTCTAAATATCTGGACGAAGAGCCGCCCTCTCCTTCCATTTGTTTGGGCCGAGCTGCGTGGATGTAGCCATCCCACACCTGGGAAGGCATTTAGCTTCAGGGCACTTCGTCCGATTGAATGCTTTCAACGCGTGCTTCCCGCATGCGGACCAACATACAAGCCTGGAATTCAACTGCCATGGTGTAACTAAACTGGATGCGCATGAGCTGGCTAGGCGTTGAGGCAGAGAGATGTCACGCCTTTCCGTTCTCTGGCTTGTAGGAAGAAACAACAAATGCGTTTCTGCCGTTGGTCTACCTACCCCCACCTGAGTAAACACCAAGACTTACTCTTGCGCGCTGGACAAGTGAACACCATGTATCAGCATGTTGAATCTTGTCAACGAAACCCAAGTTTTGACTTGTCATACAAGCCTCAAGGGTTTCAACTTAAAGGATTCTCAACGGAGTTCTTTCCCGCAGGTGGGGGCCCCCTTTTGTGGACGGCATCTTGCAAATCCGTGTGAACCCATCTGGGGGTCGTCGCTTGCTTTGTGTAGGAAACACCCTTTTCAGGGAGATCCCAAAGATTGACGCCTTCTGATATAGTACTCCCTGGCCTGGGCAAAGGCTCTCACAGAAAATGAAAGGAACTCATGCAAGACTATGATACGTTGGTGTTTTCTTCCCCGGCATGGTGCATCTCCTTACGCGCCGCTTCGTTCAACATATCGTCGGGGGCGCTATGTCGATTCGATTTGATCAGGTGCATACAACAACACAAAAATGCCTTTATTTATCACAAACATGAGCGGTCTGTATCAAACGGATCTCCTGGCACTTGTTTGCAGCACACAGGAACATGCACATACATCCAGGTGTGCGTTCACTTCTCTCACTGGGGCAAACATGTCGAACATGTTATTTGTCGTAGTCTGTTTCACGCCTTCCTTCAACTAGCGTGGTGTGACCAATGAAATATCGTGTTGACAGCATCCATTTATAATTAAAATGGGTTCTCCGCATCTTCTCGAGCTACAGGGCAAACATGACGGAATCACTGCTTCGCGCACGTCGCCAAATGATTTCACGCCTGCCAAATGAGACGAACACTGGCTCAAGTGCACCCGCTCAGTACTGCGTGCACATGCCTGCCAAATCATAAGAACACCCGTTCAAGTCCACCCGCTCGGCACTGCGAACACGCGCCTACGAAACGATAAGAACACGCGGAGGCATCAAGGTGCACTGAAAGGTATGTCTATGTGTGGTGCTGTAGGTACACTCATTCAGAAAAGGATGCGCGAGCTCGCCTTCTGTCGGATCGGCTGAAAACAGCTTTTAAATGAAGGCTTTCAGGAAGGCCTTTCTTCACCGAGGCAAAAACGCGCCCCCTTCGGGACATGTGTATATAAAAATATGTGTACCCTCTAAGCAAAAATCCGTTTATTTTAAAGTTATGGCAAAATATCAGGGTTTTTCCAGGAAATACCGGGTTTTTACTTTTTGCGTTGTAATCAGAATGGTCTTGCGTGAGTTATGACTGTGGTTCCCTCAATATAATCCTTTTGTTGGCTCTCTTACATCCAGTCAAACGCTCCACGGCCGCCTAGCAATCCCATCCATGCAAGCTCATTGAGCATGGCACCTGTTGCTAATCACCTGCTGAACTCGAAACAATGGTCAATCCGCAATTTGTTGGGAAGGCTTCCCAGATCGTGGCTCGGGAAGTTTAAGTTAAACATGAACTTTCTGACAAGGGCAACAAGTAGTCCCAGTTTACCGCAAGCGGTAGCTGCACGTGTATACATAGTGTGTATGGCACTGAGCAATCTGCTTGGGACTGTTTGCGTAAAGCTCGCGTCGGATACGTCTGGAGGGCCGTCTTGCAAATGCTCACTTGTTTGACAACCAAGTCCCGTGCTAAAGCATTGATCCCGGAGCTTCTCGCAGGCTTGTCTAAAACGTCGCAGGAACATCATTTTTGGAGCGAGCCAAAAGAACCTAACCCACTTTGAACACTAGGACAGCAGGTAATTAAAGACGCGCGGGACGAACACATGAATGACTGCTTTTCGCAAGGTCACCTTGCAAGCTTATTTCGGGCAGCTCGGGCCTGGAAAGCTGCTTGAGCAGAGGCTGAAAATCCCATAAATTGCGTACGGGTTTGTACGGTATTTTTATGGGATTTGTACGGTTTTTGTACGGGTTAGGAAAAACCGGGTTTTCGGAAAAATATGGGTTTGTATGGGATTTTTATGGGATTCGTATGGGATTTTTATGGGTTTCCTCTTTTTTTTCGCACGCGCTCGCCCTTCCAGAAGCTTTCCAGCAAAGAAAAACGGGCACACAGCTAGATCGCGCGAGCAGCGAACTGGTTTTGTATGACATTGCGGTAGAAGATCCGAAGGTTTTCGGGGCACAAACACGTACTACGCAACATGTTTGGCTTGGACTGTGCTTCCCATCGAATCAAAGTTAGGTGCTGGAAGAAAGTGCGACTTAGGCGGAGGCCAGCTTTGTTGGCATTTGGCTTGTGCGCTGAGCCGAGTAACGAATGCAAGTGCCACTTTGGGATACTGCCTGATGTTTAAAAAATACAACACAAAGTACCATGCTTGAGCATGATGTGTCAATCACGCAGAGCTACTGATGGTCATGTAGTGAACTGCACACTTGTAAATTCAAGTTGGTTGTCCCGCTTCATTCTTGAGTTTGGTTGACCACGCCCTCGCGTCTACCCCTGCCTTTTGAGGAGCAGGAGGCTATCGCGCACTTGGCGGTACAAAAGGAAACCACAAGAGATTCCCAAAAAACATCTAGAAACCCAATATACAATTTGGCAGTGAAAGAAACCTGGCGGCTCCTTTCAACACCTGCTCGAGATCCGGCACCTTTGCTCTGTTCTTCAAACATCCGACATTTCGCTTGAGAAAAGTGCCAAAATAAAGGATGTAAGTGAAATACCGGGTTTTTGCCTGGAAAACCCTTATTTTTCCAAAACTTGTCCAAAAACCAGGTTTTCCCAGTTGACCCTTTAAAATTAAAGAATTTTCGCTTAGAGGGTAGACTTGTTTATCCCCTTCCAGTCACGCTTCTTTGGAGCATGTTTTCCCGGCACAACATGTTCGCAGCGAGCCTGAAAGCCTCTTTTTTTAGTTGCCTAGCCAAAGGCCCCTGGCACGCAACCGAAGAGTCTCAGGGTCTCACCCCGTTCTGCTCGAAACGCATTTTCCTCAATGGGGCATAAAGTGTGCTCTCTTTGGAATCCATTCTAAGTTTTGCGCTCTTTGCCTTCTAAAGCTTGAGAGTGAATCTCGTCAGGCCATTCTTTTGCAGCGGCCCCTCGGTGATGACTTTTGAGTTCGGCAAGTTGCAAACAGGAGATCTGTTGTCCTGTGTCCTGGCTGTGTTTGATGTAGAGAGAGGTCGGGCTGCTGCTGTTGTCGTTTCGCATTCCACCCTGCCCCTCCAGGTTCGTGCTCAATGTGACTTTTTCCCGTAGACGCAGCGTCGTCATGGCTCCCGGAGTTGAGCGCTTCGGGCTCCCCTTGGTGAGCGGCGCAAGATTGAGAAGGCGGTGTTCCAGGCTCTGCAAGATCCACGCACGCATTGCGCGCCGCTGTCCACCAACGCTGTAATCTCCGTTGGATGCTTTGAGTTTGAGCGGCGACTCAAAATGCGGCTTTGGTGCGACGCATGTTGGTTGGGCAGAGTGAAATCAAAACCCAGCTAGTAAATGCGTGAATAAACAAACTATGCAATCATGGAATATAAAAATGGACAATTGGATAGTTGACTAAATGCAGAAATGAAAAAACAAACAATAAGTGAATAAAACAACGAGGAAGACGCCTCTTCCGTGGGAACTGGGAGGGGCTCTGTGACTTCTCGCTCCGGAGCAGAACAAAGGGACAGCGCGCAAGCTGGACCACGCATCGCAATGCGGCAGAAAACGCCGTAGACTTCGAAAAAGTGGAGGTCGCTCGCTCGGGCAAGAGAGAGCGCAGGCGCAGACCGAATCGTGACAGCTCCCGTTGCATCGAAAACAGATCTGGGAGAAAGGATGTCCCAACCCCAAGCCTGGCACGCACTTCAGCTGAAGTGCGCAGCTCAGTAGCCAGGTTCTACAAAAAAGGGCTGCGCGACTTCAACAGGCTTGCCATTCTTGGTGTGGGAGGCCTGTGCGATCTGAGGACAGGTCAAGGTCCAGCGTAGCTCGAGAGCGCTTGCTTCCCTTCCAAGCCTGAGGTTTAAGGCCTCAGCCTGAGTGGGCCGTGTGTTAGTGGCCACGTCAACGTCATTTAAACCTGCAAGCGTTCCTGAAGCCATCGGAAGTGGCTGAAGACGGCTGACGGAGCCCTTGTGC